GGGACTGGTAAGCTGTGTTTGCCATAGTTTACCCTGTCAGTACTGTTCTGGTAGATATCACCTCATCGGTTTGTTAACTAGATTTGAGTACCGTCTATCCCAACAAAGGGTTCATAATTTAAGCCAGCCATACATGGCTCAAAATTCAGCTGGTTCAGCAGGGTAGACAAATTTCGATTCATGTATGGGAACAGTGGTTGTACAGAAGTTAATCTACCTGTTGGGCAGTGGCATCCCTAGGCAGGTGCGGGGGGTGAGTGCCGCACCGGGTCACACCTACCGCACGGGGGGACACTGGACCTGCTCCACGAAAAGGTAAGTTGTAAAGCAAGCCAAGAATCCCCACAGAAAGGATCGAATCTGCGGATTGCGCATAATGGATCGGAGTTCGATCCATTATGCTCCCCAATCCGCAGATCCGATCCATTCTGCGGGGATTGTCGGCTTGCTTTACAACTTACCTTTTCAAGGAGCGGGTCTTGTGTCACCCCGTATAGGTTGCATGCTGACAATCTCCACAGGATGGATCGGATCTGTGGATTGTGGAGGATAACAGATTGGAGTCCGATCCATTATGCTCAATCCGCAGATCCGATCCATCCTGCGGGGATCGTCGGCATGCAACCTATACGGGGTGACAACGGACCCGCTCCACTAAAAAGTAAGTTGTAAAGCAAGCTGACGATCCCCGCAGGATGGATCGGATCTGCAGATTGAGTATAATGGATCAGCGTCCAATCTATTATGCTCAATCCGAAGATCCGATCCATTCTGCGGGGATTGTCGGAGGGGGTATCACCAAGTGTTATCGCATCGCGTGACACCAACCCTAGGGACGCCTCTTCTGTCGGGGAAATGCCACTTGATCAGTGTCACAGTCTATAGCCACTGTGAGAACCAGGGGCGGACTGACAACTCATGGGGCCCAGGGGCAATAGGGGATCATGGGGCCCCTGTGTCCTTGCCCAAACTCAAAAAAGCCTCAAAAAAGGTACCTCTCATGGGGCCCCCTACTGGGGCCCTCGGGCACTGCCCGAGTTTCCAAATGGTCAGTCCACCCCTGGTGAGAACACAATAACACAACGGGAGTGATTACCTCCATCTACCTCAAATGTGTGCATGGGGGAATCAGCTCAGTTTCTTTTCAATAAACTCGCTCTTTGAATGAAAATCATCTCTGGGCTGCTTTAGAAGCTGGGCTTATCCATTATATGTTAATGAGAACTGGATTCTGCCATTCTATTGTGTCAGATTCTGGAGAAATTCTGACAGTCAGCCATGAAACCATCTCCTAAAACACATCTAAAAATTAATATATATATTTTTTAAGTAAGTTGTGTGAATGGAAACACATAACAAACATAAAGTGATTTTTTTTTTCACATTTGACTGCAAAAGTGGAAATACACTTGAAATGATCGTTGTTGAGCATGGCAGATTTTTGCAGATTGGGTTAAAATTCTGTGGCTGCAGATAGAAGAAGTCACCCCTGGCCAACCTTTTTTTAAAGGAAACAGATAATGGAATAAGTTGGAATACTTTTTGAGATGGCAAATGTTTGCCTTGGGCTACACAGTATATTTAGGTGGTGGTGAGATCAGAAGGTCACATGGCAATAGTCTGGACTAGTTGCAGACTACAAACAAGATGTCTGAGCATGTACAGGATTTCAAAGTCGAGATTCCACTAACTGATATGTACTTCAGCCTCCAAGTTGGTGGCACCTATACACGCTTTCAGTTTAAGAGAGTAGCAGAGCATTATTAGGCATCAGGGGAATTCAGGTAGAGACGGCATGTAAAAACAGATTGCCGGTGATATATGACAAGGGAAATATCAGTTCAGGTTTTCCTTAAATGCGATCTATGGTCACAGCATACATTTGAATTTTATCACATCAGCATTAAAATAACAATACAACTAATAGTTGTATTTGACAATCAAATACTTATGTAGCACTCACCCCTTAAGGGACGCTGAATTTTGATGGCCAGGCAACACGTATTTTCCACATTTTCACACACAAAGTCACTAAAACAGTCCTTGAGCTTGGTTTTGTTATTTTATTAGGGGTAAAAACTTGGATGGGGTCTAGGGGTATATGGGATGCCCAAGGAACTGTAAAATTGGAGGACAACTTCTTAATGAACACTGTACGAAAATGTGGACCAAAAAAAGTAGCAACTGTCTCTTTAAGGAGCACTGATGTCCCCTTTGCTGTACCTCCTCAGACCCCAGATGAATCCTTCCTCTTTCTCCCTTCTGTCCTGAGGGTATCCCTGGGCAAGGGATTACAAAATCTGCAGTTAAGTAGTCCCGGATGAGAACTAGTTGGGTATTGCACCTGACTGCTCCTGTCTGCCCCAGGGGGTGTAGAAGGACTCACACTGTCCTGTTCTGTAAGCTCGATGGGTTGCAGCTGCTTTCAGGCCTTACCCTGGACTGGCTCCTACCTGCTGACAGGATGTCCTCCCTAGGAGACAGTAGTACAGTGGAAATCCTTCCATCCCGCACCAGCCTGTAGATAGGCTCCCTGGGGCCCCCTCCCAGGCTCCACACTCCAGCATCTTCTTTAAGTCCATCTTCCACCCGAACACAACAACTCTTTTGCTGCACAGGCTCTGCCACATTTAAGGCTCCATGCTCACTAGTGTTTTTTTTAACCTCTTGGCGCCGCGCCTCCCGGCCCTTTCAGGGCTCGTTCACACTTGACTGTTTTACCAACGCTTGCCAAACGCCCCTATAGCGTTGGTCCAGTGTTTGCGGAGCGTTTTTTAACGCTCGTCAAACGCTCCGCAAACGCCGCATGCGCGGTTTAGCGACGGTTGCTAGGTGTTTGCCAAACGTTAAAAATGCCCCACAAACGCCTATAATAAAGTTTGAATGGTGTTACCTCTCTGCAAATGCCCCGCAACCACACCGCAAATGGGCGTTTGCAGAGCGGCACCATAGACTAGAATAGGAGGCTTCAACGCCTCCTGACTCGACCAGAGGCATCCGTTTTGCCGCGACGTGACGCTAACGCTCCCGTTAGAAAAGCACCATGTGCTGCAATGTGCAGAATTGTCAGAGGCGTTTGGGAAGCTGTAAAAACGCTTCCCAAACGCCTCTCCTGCTGCCTGCACACAACGCTAGTGTGAACGTAGCCTAAGAGTTTCAAAAGCTGGGAGGTGGGGCGGGGTTTTTAGGGTCATGTGACTGCTGTGATTCGCCGTCATGGCGGTCACATGATCGGAAAAGGTCCCGATCAATCAGGACCTTTCCAGGAGTAGCGGACATATGTGCTGGGCGCGCAGGGCATGCGCTCTCAGCACATATGTATTTGTCAATTACACGCAAATATGTGGCCACTCGGCATCAAGGCTCAGATGCTAAGAGGCCGCATATTTGCGTGCGATCGGCGTCAAGGGGTTTAAGCTCCTAAAAGATGTTAATATCATCCTTGTTTCTGCTTCTAGCAGCTAAATAATGGTATCCTATGTGTCCATGCATACTACTTTAGACTATTAGCGTTTTTTGAGCTTCACCTTCTTGGAGCAGAAAAAAATCTTTTTGTAGAGTTTTTTGGAGCATTTTTCCAGCACAAAAAAACACTAAACACTCCTAATTGATACTAAATTTCTACTAACAGCTTTTTTTTAGCTTTTTCTTTTTTTTTTCTATATGTACTGTAAATACGCTAATAAAACGCTAATGCTCCTAAATCAGGGGCGGACTGACAGCTCATGGGGCCCCTGTGTCCTCACCCACACTCAAACCACAACCAAAAAAGCCTATGAAAGGTACCAGGGGTATCCCATGGGGCCCCTTACTGACCCTGGGCCCTCAGGCAGTGCCCGAGAGCCACAATGGTCAGTCTGCCCCTTTCTAAATACTACTAAAATGCTACTAAAAATGCTATTACCAGTGGTTTTTATCCAGCATTTTTTCCAGCATATTTTGAGCTTAAAAAAAACACTAGTGTGCATGGAGCCAGGGTTGTTCTTAGCCATCATGCCAGGCCTCCTGCCTGGGGATTGTCCAAATTCCCTTAATATGCAAATCAGGGCCTTCTCCCCTCCTCCACCCCTCTTCTAGAAAGTTCCTCAAGTTTCTAGAAGGGTGGGAGGGTTCCAGAAGCTGTAGAGCCTCCCAGCTTGTCCTGAGGTGACCTCTCTACCTCACTCCTAGGCTGACTCATCCCAGGCTTCTAACAAGCCTTTGACTCACAAATATAAATCCTATCTAGCTAAACCTAGAGGGTGCTACACTTGAAAGATCTTTTATGTTATGAGCTCTGCCTCTCGGTTGGCTGTCACTTTCCGCAACTTCCTGGATTCCCTGCATGCTTTGCAGCTTCTCCTCTGCTGTTTATTTTCACTAAGGACTACATATCCCATTATACCATGTTGCCTGCAGGCTGTGATTTCTGTACTGACTCCGCCTCCTGAAACTCCTCCTCTCAGCACCTCTGTAGTTCAGGTGGCAGGCTCTGTGAAATGCGTGATACAGCAGAGTCTACTCACAGGGCATAGTGAATACGTTTCACAGAATTCAAGGAAATAAATGGGATCTTCACAAGGTAAGTTTACAAACTTAAAGATCATTTAGATTAATAGGAGTAGACTAGAAATAATTGATATTCAATGTGGAAACAAATATTTGATTTTATATTTTAACTATAGATATACTTTAACCACTTCAGACACCAGTTTAATCTGTAGAGCAGACCATTTTTTACCTTATTAACTATGGGCTTATTATATTTAATACCAAAATTATACATTTATTGTTTTTGAGACTAAAAAAAAAAAAAAACTTTTTGCGTGATGTTGTCTTCCAAGAGTTATGTAATGTGCCATATATTTTAACCACTTCCTGACCACCCTAGAGCAGAAATACTTCTACAGGGCGGCACGGCTGCGCAAAATTTCCGGGTCAAGGCCGCGGCTTTCAGTCGCCAAGGCCCCTGCTGGCGATTACTTGCTGGCGCCCAGTGATTTTTGAGGATCTTCCGACAGGAAGGAGAACTGTTTTGTTTACTAACAGTTCTCCCTGTCAGCTCGGGCCCACTGCTTTGGATGGATGTACACAGCACAGCCATCCAAAGCAGTGTGATTACAGTGAAGCACACTGACACAGCCCCCTAGTAAAACACTCCCAGCATACAGTTAACCCTTTGATCGCCCCTCATGTTAACCCCTTCCTGCCCAATACCATTAGTACAGTGTCAGTGCTTTTTTTTAGCACTGATCACTGTATTGGTGTCACTGGGGATGTCAGTGACACAAAGTGAGCTCCCCCCAGTGTCAGAATGCCCGCCGCAGTCCCGCTATAAGTTGCTGATTGTCGCCATTACTAGTAAAAAGAAAAAAAAATCCCAGTATATATACCGCCATTTGTAAATGCTATAACTTTCAGGTAAACCAATTAATTTACACATATTGGGATTTTGTTTAGCAAAGACATGTTGCAGAATACATTTTGGTGTAAACTTATGACCATATTTGATTTTTTAAATTTTTTTACTGGACATGTTTAATAGCAAAAAGTCAAAAATATTGTTTTTTTCTCAAAATTGTTGGTCTTTTTTTTTAATAGCGTAAAAAATAAAAACCCACACAGGCGATCAATTACCACCAAAGTTGTATGCAATGCAATACAGAAAGAAACATCTTGCTTGAATTTGACTGCCACAACATGTTTTTGGGCCCCACTAAAATGAATACAGCGTGTCATACCGTGCTGTAGTGCTGTATACCATATGATCAACAGACAGAAGCTATTCATTTTTTGGGGGGGACTTAACATGCAAAACGCATTACACACATTAAATAGGCATGGAAAAAATGAAAACATGGCTTAATTGTGTTAAAACTATATGCATTTTCATGATGTCAAGTGTGAATTCCGTCTTACATTTTATTTCACATACAGTACAAAGTATTATAAAGCCATCAGTGTCTCCTACACACAGGTGGGGACCTTGGCTGGCAAACTGACAGCAGCCAGTAAAGCCTGAAAAGTCTGATCTCCTGTCCTGTATGTTTATACCAGATCAAAGACTCAGGAGGCAGCGAAAACATGACCAGGGTGAGATCCTTGAAAGCTGGGTCTTCAAAGCTGGTCATACACTAAATGGCTTTCGAAAAAAAAATTTGGACAAAAATTCTCAGGAAAATTTAATGACTTGAGAAATGTTGTTTGAAAGTACTTAGAAATGAAGCTTGCTTTTAACATTCAATTTAGGAATGAATGGACCTTCCTGAACAAAACGCATGTAAACTGTCAGGACTCTTTCAGATGGGCTGTCAGGGGGCAGTAAAAAAAGGCCCTCTAGCCCTTACCACCCTCTGGCTGCCCACCTGAACAGTAACACAACAGCTGGATGGGGCTGTTCACATGCTGCGGCATTTTAACTGAGGGTGCAGAGTTTGACAAGAAGCACTGCTTTTCAAACTTGCCCACTGATATCAATGGGGGCACGCCACAACTGCGTGTTATGCACATAATTGTGGGGCTGTAGGGTGGCATTATAGGGTTAAATCAGGTAGTGAGGAGGAGATTTAATGCCTCCTCACTGCCTGTCAAATGCCCTCTGAAAAGTGATCCAAACAGATCGCTCTTCAGAGGGCACAGCACTCCACCATGGGTGTTAGAGAACCTTTAGAAATTTGTACGTTGGAGAAAAATTTCCATTCTGCTCCTTCAAATTTTCTTGTCACTGTGGTTGAAAACAAAGTCAATTTGATCTCACTAACGATTAGAAAATCAACTGAATGTTCTTAAGAAAAAAAGAATTTTGAGCAAAATTCCACTAGTGTATGGCCAGATTAAAGTGTTACTAAACCCAGGATCACTATATCTGGTCTCCTACAGTACACAGAACATAGAAATGCAATTATTTTAGTAAACATAAACTGCTATCTTTTCTCATCAGCAGTTATAACAGTCTTGTGATTTCAGCTGAGCACTGGTTAAAGCTTGTAGGAGTTTTCTTTCTGCTCAAGGAGGATGCAGGACCCCTGACCTCTGTCTGGACCAGGGGCGGACTGACCATTTAGAAACTCGGGCACTGCCGGAGGGCCCGGGGTCAGTAGGGGGCCCCATGAGATGCCCCTGGTACCTTTTTCATATGCTTTTTTGACACAGGGGCCCCATGATCCCCTATTGCCCGGGAGCTACATGAGTTGTCAGTCCACCCCTGGTCTGGACAGTGCTGATTGGCCCTGTGCTGATCACATGCACTCTCCCAAAAAAAAAAACATCTCCAGCAATACACACTAAACTGAGCATGTGCAGAAGGGCTACATGGTCAGTCTGTCTTATCGGCGTGGACATTTGAACAAGAGGAGGGACAGAGAACACAGGATCAAACATACTTTTTACACAATGAAGAGGATTAACCCCTTAGTGAGTATAACAAGTATACTTCACTACATATACAGACTGATTTTACTGTTGCGGGTTTAGTAACACTTTAAAGCAGTATGAAACCCACTGATTTAATGGTTACCCAAAACAGTTACACTCAGGACATGCCTTCAGTTATATTGGTCACATTTACTAGTGTGCTTATGTTACCTCTCAACCAAACCGTCAAGCCATCAAATGGCTGTTGTCATAGCTGCTCATATGTGTAGCATCATGGCAACTGCAGATCAAACAGAGGCTGAGATGGCAGTTTCCTTGCCTGTAAAGGATAGGAGGGTTTAGGTCTACTTTAAAGTGGATGTAAACCTCAGATATGAAATCTGCACAAAGCATATCCCTCCATATGTACTTGTCTCTATCCAGAGCACTAAGTGTCCTTTCTGTCTGCTACTTCGTTCCTCTGATATCTGCATGAGTCGCTTCTGACAAGTTTTTCTGACACCAAGAGGTAAAAAAGGGAGGGAACTCCAGCACACAGACTGTGTTTGACAGCCTCAAGTCTGTTCCTGTGTGCAAAGGAGGGGGTACCCCTTCTCTCCAATCAGCTCTCCTCACTGAGCTCTGTAGTGTTTAATTTCAGTTCTCCAACCCCTGTTTTTCTGACAACTCAAGTAAGCTCTATAAATTCTGGATGTTAAATAGACATAGAGAAGAGAATACTGCAGATAAACAGGTACAACTTATATAGGAGGGTTTGTCTCATCTTTCTGTATCAGCTAAGGTCAGTCACTTCAATGGGTATATGCAAGGCTGGTACCTCCACTAGGCAAAGCAGGCGTCTGCCTAGGGCACACTGCCACCTAGGGGTGCCTGGGTGCAGCACAGCCCGGCACTCTCTCTGTGTGTGACAACCACGTCATGAATGATCCTTCAGCTGAGAGGAAGCACGGCAGAGGGAAGGAAAAAAGGACAGAGGAAGATGCTAGGTGTCTGGGACCAGTGTAGCAGCTGAGCTTCTGCTCCTTCCAGTGTTCCTCTCAGACTCAGTCCCTTACTGCAAGCCGGCTGCCTGCTGCTGATCCCTGTGGAGCCCTTCTCTTCCCATTCATCAGAGGTGGAGCTGCGCCTGTGGAGGAAGGTAATGTCTGACTCTGATGTCTCGTGTCTGTGAGAGTGTGACCCGGCCGGCTGGCCATCCATCACATGTGCAATGTGTCAGTGAGTGATGACATCATTATGAACCCGCAGCTTGCTCTTCTAGTGCCTGCTGATCTGTGTCAGTGTTTGTGGTGGTATGTTGTGTCGGATCTGTCACTGTGTGGGATCACTCAGTTCAGCTGCCTGCTGTCACAGCGTTTTATCTCCCCCCATTGCCTGGGGAATTCCAGCCTGGGATCTGCCAGAGTGTGGATCCATCATCCTCCACTCGCTGCAATTGTCACCCTGCCACTGCCAGCCACAGATGCTGTCCATCCGCGACATTGATTTTGTCTTTAATATTGGTGCTGCTGGCATCTTATGATCCTATGGCACTTATTTTTTGCAAGTTAAAAGAAATTTAGCAGTTTCATGTTTTGTTGATTTAATATTTTCTGTTTTAAAAAAATTTAAGCAGTTTTAAATTGTGTTTTTTTTTTGGGGGGGGGGGGGGGGGAGCACAAGTAGCTGGTCTTGCCTAGGCCACAAAATAGTCTAGCACCGGCCTTGGGTATATGTAAGGGTTCACAACCAGTTTAAGGTAGGATCCACACTTAATCACTTGCATTGTAGAATTCTGGTGTATTTTGATGCACATCATAATGTATTGGCATGCCCTGCCATTTCCTCTTAGAAACCTTTCAAGGTGCATTGACTGATAAAAATTGAAATAAACTTTCCAAAACATGTTAGTACACAGCATATGTGTAAAATAGCACCAATAAAATTAATGACAAACCTCTGCACATGCATTCATGTTACAGCATGTGCATTAAATCCCATATGGAAAAAGAGAAGGGAGAAGGAAGAAGGGCGCCGGACTAAGTGCAACATTCAAATTTACAATTTATTGGTAAAAATGACAATTAGCAACTCACAGGAAGGGAAAAAGGAAAGAGCATATCACCAACGTGGTCTGGGCTCCCGGGAGGCAGTAGAGAACAAGCGGTATCCACGCATCTGATGTTGGCTGGAAGGGTATCCTGGAGCTGCCGGCCTCAGCAGGGAACAAGCGTGGAATGCAAACGGCACTGGGGCGGACGTGACGTCAGTGAAGATGATGAGGGGTGGGCGGTAACGCGTTTCGAAGCGGAGCTTCTACTGCCTGCTTTGAAACGCGTTACTGCCCCGCCCTGGTGTCATTTGCGCGCCATGCTGGTTCCCTGCGGCGACCGGCCGCTCCAGGATACCCTTCCAGACAACATCGGATGCGTGGATACCGCTCGTTCTCTACTGCCTCCTGGGAGCCTGGACCACGTTGGTGATATGTTCTTTCCTTTTTCACTTCCTATCAGCTGCTAAATTGTCATTTTTACCAATACATTGTAAATTTTAATGCTGCGCTTAGTCCAGCGCCCCTCTTTTTTCTCTTTTTCCACATTCAGAGTTCGGCTTTGCTCTGATGGTGCTGCCACTGATGCCGCTTTTTGCTAATGTACTTTCATTGTGAATACCAATGGTCCCCCACATGGACTTTTGATGGACTCTATGGACTTTTATGCAGCTATATTATACCCCTCCAGCACCAAATTTGTATATATTATTAAATCCCATAAGTGTGAATGGGTACTAAAAAAAGGTAAGTAATAGCAAAGTATATATTTTTATATTCTCAGGCTCCCTTTTGCAGCTGACAAGATCCTGAGGTCCAGAGATCCTGTCTATATTTACACTGATAAATATACTGGGTACTTGATTTACAAGCTGTGTTCTGTTGCTGAAAATATACAGACATGTTAGCTGACTCCCTTAATATAGCAAAAGC